CTTACAGAGGGATGACATGGGACAGCTGGAGGCTTACAGAGAGGCATTTACTGAAAGCTATATAGTGGGAATGTTTTCCATGGTCACCGTATACTGTAGTTGGGGTATTCACCTCTCTGAAGCTTTGCTGCTCGAATCTCCTAAAGACCTCTGATTGTTCCCTGATGTGACCACTAATGGCTGGATGGCATGGTTCCTCTTCCTGGGTACTCTGCGTGCCCTCAGGAGACACCCTGATATTGGATGCTGTATAAGGTGGATTACCATATTGCGGTAATAGTGATGTCTGATCATCCAGTAGGCCCCCTTGGATCCCATTGTTGTCTGCCACAAGTACAACTATGAACACTGCTAACATTGCTTTCCCGTATGTGACCAAGACCCAACCAATACGTATGGTAGATAATGGATGAAACGTCTCGTTTGTCTGATGAGCGCGCCTCTTCCCCTTCTCATTGTCTCCGTCATGTAGTTTTGATCGAAGTGACAACATGCGGTTGGAGGAGAAGTTTCGCCTGGATGATCTTCTTCTCTTGGAAGACATTTTTGCCAATCACAACCGGCATGAAGAGGTGACTGAGGAGATGGCGGGGAGAAGGAAAGCTGCTCTGAGTCCTCAGCGGGTCGGTAATATGACCCTGAAAGAGTTTCGGAAGGTTCTGTTTGATCTCTTTGGGTCAAGGTTCTGGGATGACGGCATGGAGCTTCTGTTCAACAAGGTGGGACAAACCTCCGCTCTCTCCTTCTGTGTTCTGGTGGCTGGATCTGGGGGGTGACCTGAGCTGTGTGGGGTCATTGTTGCCTCCTTTCCCTCATGCGGTCTCCTCTATATTTCCTTCTCTGTGCATCAGTCACTCTCTATCACCTCTCCTCATCCATATTCAGATCAGGTTGACACATCATGTGACGGTTACATTGACTGGAGTGAGTTTTGTACATACATGTTGCTGCAGTACAAGGAGCGAGATTACATGATGACACAGAGGGTGACAATTTTGGGCGAGCCGGTTGTACGTCTGTGTGCCCCCAGTAAGGTCAGTATAGAGACACATTTTGCCCTGGGCAGGAATAGTCAGGGTGGGCTCACTGTTGTGTCCAAATCTTTCCATAATGTTCCGTGTCTCTCCCCAGCAAGAGCCCGTCAGCCGAATCCTGGCCATCAGCAATCTCCCCCCATTGTGGTTCATCAGTGTCAGCAAAGGAGGGGTCTTCACTGCATGGGATGGCGGCCTGCACCCCCTGAAGTCCTGGGAGGTACGATGCACATTGTATGTATGACCGGGTACAGTACACGGGGGCAGATTACCCGGGTATGTAAAATCGGGTGCAGTACACGGGGCAGATTCCCCTTGCGTGTAAAATCGGGTACAGTACACGGGGGCAGTTTACCCTTCCGTGTATGACCGGGTGCAGTACACGGGGGCAGTGTTTACCCTTGCATGTATGACCGGGTGCAGTACACGGGGCAGATTCCCATTGCGTGTAAAATCGGGTACAGTACACGGGGGCAGTTTACCCTTCCGTGTATGACCGGGTGCAGTACACAGGGGCAGTTTACCCTTGCGTGTATGACCGGGTGCAGTACACGGGGGCAGATTACCCGGGTATGTAAAATCGGGTACAGTACACGGGGGCAGTTTACCCTTGCGTGTAAAATCGGGTACAGTACACGGGGGCAGTTTACCCTTGCGTGTATGACCGGGTGCAGTACACGGGGGCAGTTTACCCTTGCGTGTATGACCGGGTGCAGTACACGGGGGCAGTTTACCCTTGCGTGTATGACCGGGTGCAGTACACGGGGGCAGTTTACCCTTGCGTGTATGACCGGGTGCAGTACACGGGGGCAGTGTTTACCCTTGCATGTATGACCGCGTACAGTACACGGGGGCAGATTCCCCTTGCGTGTAAAATCGGGTACAGTACACGGGGGCAGTTTACCCTTGCGTGTATGACCGGGTGCAGTACACGGGGGCAGTTTACCCTTGCGTGTATGACCGGGTGCAGTACACGGGGGCAGTTTACCCTTGCGTGTATGACCGGGTGCAGTACACGGGGGCAGTTTACCCTTGCATGTATGACCGCGTACAGTACACGGGGGCAGATTCCCCTTGCATGTATGACCGGGTACAGTACACGGGGGCAGATTCCCCTTGCATGTATGACCGGGTACAGTACACGGGGGCAGATTCCCCTTGCGTGTATGACCGGGTACAGTACACGGGGGCAGATTCCCCTTGCGTGTATGACCGGGTACAGTACACGGGGGCAGATTCCCCTTGCGTGTATGACCGGGTGCAGTACACGGGGGCAGATTCCCCTTGCATGTATGACCGGGTGCAGTACTCGGGGGCTATGGTATAAATGAACTCATGGTGTGGGTGTATTGCGGCAGCTGCACTCCCCTAGTTCATGCCACATGTATGGAAAGGTGAGTTCAGCTTCTAGGTCCAGACTGACGCTTGCCTCCATCATGGATCCGGCCGTTCTTCTAGATGCAATGTAACTGCTGAGCTCGCTGTCGGTGTTCCAGCTCTCCTCCTCCTCCTCACAGGAAGGGGGCAAAACTGTGAACACAAAGTATTTCTGCTTTTGTAGCCAGATTGGGATAACACGAACTTCACATACAGTGCTTGGTAGTACCCCCCCCCCCCCCCCCCCCTCTCCCCCGTGATGTGATGGAGGGGGGGCTGGGGGAGTTGTGTTTGCTCTAATTATCCTGCTTATGCTGCGCTGGCAGATCTCCTCATCACCTGTATACTAGATGGGAACGTGTCCTAGCAAAGGGTTAAAGACCTGGAAGCATTGTATGAGAGGAAGCTCGGCCTGTCCCTTGGGCAGAGTAGCCTGGAATCTGCACAAAGGCCTTCAGCAAAGAAACATTTCAAATGTAAGGACTATTTTCCAGACCGGCTGTACGCACATGCGTGATGTGACGTGTCAGCTTTACATGTGTCAGGTGGTTTCAGGAATTGAAGCAGTTACATTGAATTAACATCCTGTGACAATCATTCCACTTTGCGCGCGAGGAGGTGCTTTTGATGCATGGACAGTGGCGTAACCAGAGTAACGGGCGCCCGGGGCAGAACTAAATTTTGCGCCCCCCCCCCCCGGTGATATGTGGGGGTGTGCAGGTTTTTAAAGGGGTTCTAAACCCTCTTGTTTTTTTGCCTATAGCTATCAAGCAGTAGATAAAGGCAAAAAGTTTTTTCAAAAACCGCTTTCACAGCGCTTAACACTTCCCTTGTTTCGGCTGCGCGTTCCCGTCCGAGAAAACGAGACTGATCGGGCACGGCCGCAAAGCATCTCGGGGCGGGCGCATGCGCAGTTCGGATTCTCGGCCGGGAGACGAGCAGAGACGCAAGGTAAGTCTATGGACGCGTGCACTCCCCGCATGCAGACTCCGTGGGACAGGAAGTGCTAGCAAAGACAGAGGAGACAGCACTGGATCGGAGAGCCGCCGCACCGCTGGAGGGACAGAGGAAAACATGGGGAAAGAAGAGGAAGATCGGAATAAGAGACATAATTTAAGGTAAGTGCTGACACTAACATGGGGGGAGGGGAATCCTTAAATGTCACTTTTAATATGAAAAAGTTTATTTGAAAAAAATCAAACGTCAAAAAAAGTGATTCATCAGATTGCATCTTCCCATTACTTACTTACAAAGTACAAGACAAGCATCGTCTTGTACTTTGTAAGTAAAGTTACCTTTTTATACTGAGGGGACTGTTACCGCTGTAGGACTGATGTATAGACCCCGAAATGCCAGAACTGCCTCTGTTATCACGGAATCTCCATCTTTTCTATAAACCATGCTAGATGTGGTATTGTGGGAGTGTCTGGGGACGTGATGGGTGCGGTATTGTGGGAGTGTCTGGTCCGTGATGGGTGCGGTATTATGGGAGTGTCTGGGGCCGTGATGGGTGCGGTATTGTAGGAGTGTCTGGGGCCGTGATGGGTGCGGTATTGTAGGAGTGTCTGGGG